GTGAGTTAGCCAGTCATCTTTTTCCACGTCATCTGGCCCATTACGATAATTTCTGACCCGCACGCAACTTTGTTCATGTAATGATCCCACTTGATTTTTACTCGAGTGTCATCTACCTTCTTTTCCACTTTTGTCCTTTCTTGTTTCTACGGTTGCCCTCCTCCTCACTTTTTTTTTAGTAAAAAACATAGTTATCTCTTTAAGATTATTTGAAACATATATAGTTTAGACAAAAATACATTCACCCTTTAAATGAAAAGATAAATATATTCTTTGTTAATTTTATTTTTTAGTTCTTTTAATCCAAGACCTTTTTTAAACTATAAAACTATGAAATTTAGTTAACCATATTAGTTTTAAAATCATATTTAACTACTATTAAATTATATTTTAGTTAACTTAGATTTTACCAGGATTACGAACTTATCTTTAATTCGGATCTATATTAACTTTGAGATGAATGTATTAAATTATTCCTAGTTAAAAAAAAAAGATAATGGTTCGTAATTTGAAAAAAAAAGTTCAATGATCAAGAAATTGATTAAAACAAAAAAAAAAGAAAAAGGAGAGAAAATAAAAAGGAAAAATAAACAGATTGATGGTATTTTTAGTGTTTGTAGTGCATTTTGAACAAGAATCCTAACATCAATTTACTCTTTCAAGAGAGATAAAGAGTGTTTTTCAAACTAATGGGGAGTAACTTTATTTTCAATAAAATTTCGTGAATGATAATTATTTTTTCTAATTGAATTATATAATTTAGCATATTTAATGCATAATTCAATTATAATTTAATCTAATTAAAACTTAATTTGGTAGTAATTAAAAATTATTTTAGAACTAATTAAATCTTTTAACTGAATATATAGCTGATTAAATCTCACAATTATGTAACTAAAAACAAAATGTCTTGAACAAAAAAAAAAAAGAGGAAAGAAATAATACAAAAGCAAAAAAAAAAAGGGATATTCTTGTCTTTTTATGTAAAATTAACTTGGTAATTAGCATCATTACATCTTTAACTTGGTAATTAGAGTCATTACATCTTTGGTGCATTTTCAACCGAATTTTAGAGAGGTGATTATATTTTCTACCAAACTTGAAGAGAGTCTATATATTTTATCTTTAAATTTACGTCAAATTTAATCAGGTATTATAATTGAAGAGATTCTTACTTTCTCTCTCTCTCTCTCT